GTGCCTGATGTAAAGACGGCATCGGGGGAAGGAGGAGGGGTCAAGGGGTTAGATAGCCTAGTCCAAGTCTACGTCGGGGAAGTCCGCGTAGCAACGTCGAAAGTTGGAATGCTAACGGGACGCTCGTGTGATGGCGGAGGCACCAGAGCGCAAACGAATAGACCTGTGTGCTGTGCAAGAAACAAGATGGTTCAGTTGCAAGGCGAGGAACATTGGTCGAAGCCTCGAAACCTTTCTGTATGGTAAACAGAACCATAAACGGAGTGGTTGTAGTGGTCTCTCAACGTTTCCGGGACTCGATAGCAACGCTTTAATGATGAATATCGTCACTGCTCTCGAACAACGACTGAACACATCAAGGGATCCAGAGACGAGCTCTAGTCCCTGCTCGTAAAAGATACCTATTAGGTTGTCCGGAAAGTTCTCAGCGTTTTGTGTTACTATTTTTTGTACATTCATTGCTGATTAAAACTCATTCTCCCTTGCGTCTCAGTAGTACATCCTGAAGAGAATTTTTTGCGCTATCTGATGGTATAATTGCCGTTTCACCATTGCTTGATAAACCCCCTTTTTTCAAGACTTTTTGAAGCATGTGAAAAGAGCAACTTCGGACGATTTTTCTTCGACTATAAATTGGGCAATCCGCAATCGAAACAGCTCAACAAATTAACCAGGTGTGGGGGCCCAATAGTGCTAGAGAAAGCACTGTGCGGCAATGGCTCAACAAATTTCGTTCTGGAGATTTCAGCCTTGAAGATGAACCTCATAGCGGTCGACCTAAAGCAATATCTGACGAGGATTTTAGGGGGATTTTGGAGGCTGACCCATCCCAAACAGTTCGAGAGATTGCAGAAAAGCTAGGCGTTGGCAAATCCACTGTTGCGGATGGTCTGAAACGCATTGGGAAGGTGAAAAACTCGACAAGTGGGTGCCCCACAATTTGAGTGACCGGCAGAAATTGGCACGTCTCGAGGTTTCTTCTTCACTGCTTTTGCGCAACAGAAACGACCCGTTTTTGACCGAATTGTCACCTGTGATGAAAAGTGGATCATGTATGATAACAGGAGACGTTCCGGACAGTGGTTGGATGCCGACGAACCACCGAGGCAATTTCCAAAGCCGAATCCTCACGAAAAAAAGATTATGGTCACAGTGTGGTGGTCATCGGCTGGTGTGATCCACTCACCAGGCCAAACCATCACAGCAGAGTCCTACTGTGAAGAAATCGACGAAATGTACCGAAAATTGCGTCAGCTGCAGCCAGCACTTGTCAACAGAAAGGTCCGATTCTTTTGCATGACAACGCCCGCCCACACGTTTCACAAATCACTATCCATAAATTGAACGAATTGGGGGGTTGAAGTTCTACCTCACCCGCCATATTCTCCAGACCTTTCACCAACCGACTATCACCTTTTCAAACATTTTCAGAACTTCCTTGCTGGAAAATACTTCATCAATCAGGACCAGGCAAAAAAAGCCTTCGTGGATTTCGTGGATTCTCGACCACCCAGTTTTTTCTTTGATGGGATTTATCGACTGTGTCACATTGGCAAAAGTGTGCTGATTCGAACGGTGCCTATTTCGATTAAACCTCACTTCAACTTCAGCACCATGAGTATTAAGAAAGTTATGATCGCTTGAAGTGAAACACTCACAACGCTGAGAACTTTCCGGACAACCTAATGGATATGAGCTGCCGTCACAAGACGTTGTAATCGACGCTGGTAACCTCAACGGGCACGTGGGCGCTACAAAAGACCATAGGCGTTACGTGATCGATGGCAAGCGGAATTCTAGTCATCCTTAATACAAGGTTTCGTAAACGTGACTCCCACCTTATCAGCTTCTACAGCGGGAGTACCACAACGCAGATCGACTTCGTCCTCGTTAGACATAACGACCTAAGGGCTCGTTACGAACGCGAAGAGTACGCCGTACGAGCCAGTTGCCACACAACATCGCCAACTAGTCTCTGTATGTAAAGATTGCAACGCTCAGATCCAAACGGGTCGAGCGATGTGGTCCCGAGAGGATCAAATGGTGGCGTTTGAAAGAAAAGGAGGCAGCTGTAATCTCTCGTATCCGACTTCCCACCGTCACGCCCGTCGAGGACCTGGAAAATGGCTGCTGAATCCTTATGAGGCAACTTATTCTGAATTCAGCATCACGAAGCCTGGAGTAACAAGCAGCTGTGGTTATGGACTCATAGTGTCAAAGAAAGATCGCGAGAAGAATACGCGATACCACGCGTTTCTTGGCGAGTCAGCTAGTAGCTGGCGTAAGTACAAAGAAGCGAAGAATGCAGCGAAGAAGGCTGTGGCTGCAGCGAAGCCGCCCACTTTGAAGGTGCCAGTGAAGAACGCACTCATGCGATGGAGAGCGGCACCTCTACCGACTTGCCGAAGGCTCGGCATCGTCAGACCGAAGATATCGAGAAATTCCCTGGCGTCAACGACGAGCATGGCCGTCTTTTGATGGACTGGAAGAGGGTGCAGGCGATACTCCTTTGAAAATATTTCAACTGTGGAATATGCGCACCCGGTCATAATTTCTTCTCTACAATACGGTCCCATTCAGAAAATAACCGTACCACAGTGGAGGCGGTTCTCAGAAAGATGAAGTCAGGCAAAGCAGCAGGACGTGGCGGCCGACTTGTGGATGTCACGCTGCTGATACCCTGCAGAATGACTGACGTGTTTTTTCAATTAGGTCGTTGTTGAGAAGAAAACGCCGAAGGACTGCCAAGAGAACAGGACGACTGCAATCTGAAAGAAGAAGAGCAGCCGTGTGGATTGCTTGAACTATCGTTCAGTTCGCCTGAAGTCATACAGTATGAAGATCTTTGAGCGCATTTCGATCGCGTTCCACGTAAAGTTATGTGGTAAGCTTTGGGGCAACGCCGCGTTTTCGAAGGGCTTATTGGTTGGGTGTGCGCCAGCTCGAAGAGCAGCGTGCAAGCATCTACAGACACTCTGCAGGTTTCCCTTCGTAGTCGGATCACAAGACTCTCCTCACTTTTGTACGGAGTCCATGGC